GGTTTCACACTTCATGTGTTTGATTTGTTTCACATTTTTAGGGTTGATGCATAAACATAATAATAAATAAATATAAAATTTGAGCTTGATTAATACATTTTTAAAAACTTTACAGCACAAAACAAAAAAAAAATCGATTTAATAGTTTTCCAAATAATTCGAGAACGGGGCGAGGAAAAAATTAAAAAAATCACACATACACACATGAAAGTTCTCTATGAAAACAAATTTTAAAAAAATTTTTTTCCAAAAACTATTTTTTTTTTTATAACAAAATGGTATGTGAAAAGTTTTTCAAGAAAAATTAAATTTTTCATATATTTTTTCATAGAGAATTGTGTAAATATATGTGATTTTTTCAAATTTTTTCCCCGCCCCGTTCTCGAGATATTTGGAAAACTATTAAATCGATTTACTTTTATTTTTGTGTTGTAAAATTCTTAAAAGTGTATTAATCAAGCTCAAAATTTCATATTTATTTATTATTATGTTTATGCATCAACCCTAAAGATTTGAAACAAATCAAACACATGCAGTGTGAACCCCGTCCGTTTTGGTATGGAACACCCCATATACATAAACAGATTTGTGCCTAAACACATGCAGGTTGACAACTTTGAAACAATGGTATAAATTCCAGTACCTTTGACATAAATTTCCCATCACCAAAATCAGATTGCAGGAAGATGCAGTAACAAAGTCAGCGCACTGCAAGAAAATAATATATAAATCCCACGGAGACCATGGGAATCAGTGTCAAATACAATTAACTATATACATACATACATACATGTTTGTTTCGAAGTGTGTCACCTAACTGGCATAGTTGAGCCGTAAATGAGCCTACAAGAAGCGCACAAACAAATTTGACTATTATTTAACTTTAAAATACGTACATACATAAGCACATACATACAAATGTATCACGAAATTCATAATTCATGCTCAGTATAATAATTATAGTTAACAAAAAAAATTGTAATTATGTAGATAAGTATATAACAAAAGCAAGCTCATAACACATACAACAATTTAAAGTTGCAACAAAATTTTTCGGTATATTTATTCCATTGCAACAAATCGCAAACTTTTCCATAACAAATTTTTAAAGCAGCCCACAAAACAATAGGTGCGTTCGTTTAAAATCTCCAACAGAAACCAACCAACTGCCAAATTCCGGCGAAATGTCATCTGTTCGCTCACAAGAGAGAAATATCCAAAATAGTACGCGAACAGAAAATTTGCAGAAACTTGCAAGTTAGACGAA